GGGCCTGGGAGGGGCGCGACGGGACCCAGGAGGGGTGCTACGGGGCCCAGGAGGGGCGCGACGAGGCCCAGGAGGGGCGTTACGGGGCCTAGGAGGAGCGCGACGGGGCCCAGGAGGGGCACTACGGGGCCTGGGAGGGGCGCGACGGGGCCCAGGAGGGGCGTTACGGGGCCTAGGAGGAGCGCGACGGGACCCAGGAGGGGCGCGACGGGGCTAGGGGGGGGTCGCGACGGGGCTAGGGGGGGCGAGCGGAAGCGGTAGGTGGGGGGGGGGGATCCTACCTACGCGTGATACCATATCAGAATTGAATAAGTGAATAATGTTAGAGAGAGGGTACACACAGATATACCTAAGTGTTGTACCCTCTAAGAGGCTACCCTATACAGTCTATACAAACATGACAAATGCACATGTTTGACAGCATCCGCCTTTTTGTCCGTACATGCCGAAAATTTCGGGAAGAACCGAAACTGCCGCTGCTGTGAGAGTACGACCCCGTTACACTAATTTCCCCTTTCCATATTTCCTTTCTCTTTCATTCATATTTTTATCCTGATTCATTTGGTCTTTATCTCATCTCATTTGGTTTCCTATTCCTCATTTTCCATTATCCTTTGGTTTATCCTGTTACTATAATTATATCACCGACCGGGCTCGGGATGTACTGGCGCGCTATATCTAGCGTAATCCTGCAGTAATCCCTTATAGCCAATAGCCTCGCGTGGCTATACGCAAGGTGATTCTATTTCTAGAAGGGTCTATTTCCTTTGGATAGGATAAACCTGGTTACCTGATGTAATCTGGAAGTATAAAAGCCCCTTGTACTGATTGATAGTGCAACATTGAGCAAACCTTTCCTCGGGACATTCGATCCTGTGACAGCTGCTCCCTTTCTGCTCCATATAACCAAAACACGCCGCAAATGTCGGTCGATGTCTCTCGTACCCTTGAAGATAGCGGGCACAACTCCAGCTGTAAACGCTCGAACCGCTGCACAAACTCTCCCAAAATGTCAGAACCACGCAGTACTTAGTGGATACCGTAACTCCGCTTCACAACTATCCGTAGAATCTCAGGCGACACGGCGTCCTTTAGCAGCGCCCCAACGGTTTCTCCACCAGCTGTACGCATGAACTGAACCCTTAATCTTAGGGTTTACCAGAGTCCACCGCCTCGGCATGATGTTTTGGCCATCGATCAGGGTCAATGCGCATCATACGCCGTCGATCTCCGCCCAGCTGTTACCCAATGTTCCAATACTCTGGTACCCCTGCCAGCTAGCGACGCAGACGTTTACCCATCTCGCGGCTGCTGCAGGTTACCCAAAACCGCTTCGCTGCTGCTTAACTAACTAGGAGAATCCGCAGAGATAGGAGTGCGCACGCTTCTAGTCAGAGGAGCTTTAACGAGCTCGCCTACTGACCGCTGGACCGCTCCCGCCTCCGTCGGAAACTCGTCAAACTACACCCGCAAAACTCGGAACCTCCTTCTGCTGCACCAGGTAAACTCCCTCAGCTCCACTGCAACACTAACTCCCGATTTTTTTTCATTTTCTTCTTCAGGGACACTCCATCAGCACAGTGTAGTTTGCAGGTTCACCCCCCTTATTCATCCAAGAGCCGTCGATTAACAAGTCGACACTCCTACCTGGTGGGAATGGTGATTTCCGGGCGACGTAGCTGAGCGAGTAGCAGCCCGAACGCCGCTAACCCATCTGCTCCAGTACTCCCGTCGTTCTTCTCCCACTGCTTAGCTCCTGACAGGTAACGCATTCGGCGACCGGTGGAAAACACTTAATACACACCCAGGGGTGGTGGCCTCCGTTTCCGTTGATCGTTGGGGTATGAATCGCTGGTCCGCGAAAAACGCCTCCCCACGAGGGAAGTCGCCCTCGCTAAGTACACTCACTCCAGCACAGCGTCATCTCCTCCAAATGGCCGTCGTGTGAATAGCGCCGAGGTCGTTAATCCCGACGGCTCCCACACAACTGCACACCCACACGTGCTTCGTGCGATCGTGTCATTCCGAAATTGTCGGATCCGCCCATTGCCGAAACAGTGTTGAAGCCCCGTCCATCGTCTGCAACTAGCCTGCCGGAAACGCCGACGCCAGCGACGCAACTGCATTTCACCATGCAGCTACATGGCACTACAAACGCCCATCGCGGTGCGTCCCGCCATTTTCGCCACCCCGCGCGTTCCTGACGACCATTTCCCGGCCGCCTGAGGACTCCCGTGCACTTGTTTCCTCGCGACGACCAACTCCCGGCCGCCCGACGACTCCTCGCTATTTTCGGAAGCCAATCCGAACACTTCGCTAGAAACCCCCGAAAATTCCGAAACACTAACGAACATACCCGAAAAACACGGCGGAAACGTCGCCACCTATTCGACAGGAAATAATCCCGTCTACGCCCGGGGAAGGGGAGGACCGGCCAATCCCAGCCGTCCATCGGACAAGATCTGACGGCATCGGCAACGCCCGCGCAATTAATTTCCTCGACGTGCACTCGCCATCAGCATCCTTCCGCCCCCTTCCCCGATAGGGTCTGCTCCCCTATCGGAAACTAGATGGGCAGAATCGGGGTTCTGATACCAGCTGTTATGAATTATAACTCAGAGTATAGCGCAGAATACTATAGGGGAAAGTGATTCCCGAAGCCTCCTGAATAATGAGACCTAGGGCTTATATAGTGCGAGTTGACCAGGTCGAAATGTCGAGGGTTGGACCAGTCGAGGGCTAGGTAGTCCCGAGGGTGACGGGGTCAAAACGGGTTCGGGGCGACTCGGGGTCAGGTTGGGGCCGAAAAGGTCGTCAAGGGCTGGTTTGGCGCAATAAACCAGGGCCGAGCCTGCGGACCCGCACTGTTCGCGGTACTCGCTGTGGCGAGTCCCTGTAAGGAATCGGAATTCCTTACAAGGCCCCAAGATATCAGCGTTTTTACGCTGATTCAGCATTTTTTCAGCCTTTTTTTTTGTACCTATGCTAACCTGTAAGACTTTTTGAGATGGGTAAGGCTGACAAATTCAGCCTTTTTTTATAGTGATGTCTGATGATTTCAGCGTTTTTGGTGGGGTGTAGGCTGAGGTTTTAGCGAAGTCTCTGGGGGGGAGTCTGAAACCGAGTACAACGAGATTTGCATCCCCCCATATTTACCGCATCCAGTCACACACACCCCTTTTCTCCCCCCCCCCCCAGTATATTGTTTTCTGGTGTCCTCGAAAACTAGTCACACCCCTCTCATACCCTCGGCAACCCGGTTGTTTTTTGTCAAAGTCCTCGAAAACCAGTCACTCCCCCTCATACGCTTGGCAACCCAAAAGATTTTGTCCAAGTCCTCGAGAACCAGTCACTCCCTCCCCTTCATACGCTTGGCAACCCAAAAGATTTTGTTGAAGTCCTCGGAAACCAGTCACTGACACCCCTGTAACCCCCGAAACCCAAGGATGATTCGCCCAAGTCCTCGGAAACCAGTCACTAACTGTTGAGTGACCCGCTGGGGTTGTCCTTGAGATCCTCGGGGAAGGGCCACAGGTGCAGAGCCTGGGGGGCTATGGGCGCACTTACCCGCTATTCAACAAGCCCTTTTAACCCAGTGGTTAGTGACTGGGTTTCTGACATGGTATCAGAGCCAAAGGTCTTGGGTTCAACTCCCAGTGCCAGCGCTGCAGAGGCGTTTGTGTCTTCCACCTATCCCAGCGGGGGGGGGGTGTTGAGTGACCCGCTGGGGTTGTCCTTGAGATCCTCGGGGAAGGGCCACAGGTGCAGAGCCTGGGGGGCTATGGGCGCACTTACCCGCTATTCAACAAGCCCTTTTAACCCAGTGGTTAGTGACTGGGTTTCTGACACTAACACCCCTGTAACCCCCGAAACCCAAGGATGATTCGTCCGAGTCCTCGGAAACCAGTCACTGACACCCTTGTAACCCCCGAAACCCAAGGATGATTCGTCCGAGTCCTCGTCAACCAGGCACACCCCTACAGTATCATATTCCCTGCAACCAGTGGCACATGGCCTGCTTTGATTTCACACTTATTTCACCGCCGAAGCGTTGTCACCCTTTGAAAGCATGACCGATGAGGCAAGTTTTGCAACCCCTTAAACAAACGGCAAGTTTCGGTTTCTAGACGACCCGGAATTATGACGAATATCTCATATTAGAGCATGTTGCCCCTGAGTGTCAGGAATTTGACACGAAGCTATCGACGGTGTCAATCCTGACACGTCAGAAATTATATGAAGTGTAAATCTCAAACCGTCCGTTCTTCATGTCATATTTCTTGACATTAGGGGGGAACGCACCCTTCGTGTTTTCGGAGGAGTCATCGGTCCAACTATTACACCCGCGACTTCAGCATGACTGACTAGAGACCACCATCAACAAGGGAATGCTTTTTGCAGTTCCATAAAAGGTCAGGGATGAGTCAAACAGTTTACTGCTGCCCAATTTCAGTGGGCCAGGTGTATCGCAAGCAACTGGCACGAACCGAGACCAGACACGTTCTTCCCCCTGCGCCAGTCACGCTGGCGCGCAAACACCTGCCAATCTCTGGCATTTCTACAAGTGCTTCAGCCAATCATTGGCATTTCAACTGCTTCAGGCAATCGTAAGGCTCGTTATTGAAAGTCGGCGCCAATTCCTGAATGATAATTCAGAATGTGCATCATACTTTTTTTCATAACTAACGCTGATTGATCGGCGATTTTTTTTTAGGGGCAAGGCTGCAAAATCAGCCTAAACGCAGGGGGCAAGGATGATGAATCAGCCTGACCCTAAACCAATTTTAGGGCCTGCTCGACACTGAATGAATTAGAAAGAAGTGTACACGGTAGTTTTGACCTAATATGCTGTACTCTCTAAGGCATGCCCCTATTTAGGCTATAGTAACATATACAAAATATGTTTGACATCACATTCCTCTTTTGAATGCAAGACTGTTAGGGGCGCTTCGCGGCTGCATTTGCTGTGTTGGCCCTTGCTACGCTACCATCACAATACACACATTTGAAAGCGTTACACGCTTTCAAAAAATTACATACACTTCGCCTACTCTGGCAAGCGCACTGTATTTTGCCCAATGGAGGACAACAATGGGCAGAAGATAAAAACTAGGGCTAGAGAGACTAGAGAGCCTCAACAGTGGAAAACCCAAACAAAGAAAGATACGTACCGCAGTATTCCTTTTGCTTGCACCCTACCAGCCATGCACCATCATTCATTCTTCCCTTTCTACATTCCTTCATATCTTCAACCTCTGAGCTCTACTAGCCTGCCATTTCAGCCTGGATACACGTGCATTGAATTGACATGCATCCCTCCTTGCGCTCCGCACCCACCAACCCCAAGCCCACCCAGATCAGTGGCTCTCATCTCCTCCCCCCAATCTCATCCCCATCGCTCGCAACCACCCTCTCAAACCACCCTCACTCTAGTGAGTGATCCCCCCGCCGCGCCCCCCCTGTTGCCCCATGAGCTGATTCAACAGCGAAAGGTCGTTGTTGCCTCCCTGCCCTCCCCCTCCTCTATGTCTCGCCCCTGACAAATAGTCCTCCGGCCCTCCCAACCCCACTGCACCTGCACCTCCCCCTCCCAACTCCTGCGCAAACAGGAGACTCTCATTCAGCCCTAAACGCCCTGCCATAGGATTCACACCATCAACCAAACCTAGAGCCCCCCCTGATCCTCCCCCTCCTCCCCCTCCCACCCCTGCTCCCAATTGAAACAGTGCGGCGGCGTTTTGACTCCCAACCTGCAGCCCCGAAGCCGCCATGGTCGCGCGCAACGCTGCTAGATCTTGCATGTTAGCCGCCGCCGCTGCTGCCGCTGCCGCTGCCGCTGCTGCTGATGAGCCACCAGCACCACCACCTCCCCCTGCCCCTCCCGTTCCCCCCCCAAGCAAGCTCGCCAATCCTGCAGCACTCAGCCCATACGCCCCTCCCCCTCCCCCTCCTCCTCCGCCTGCTGCTGCCCCACCCGCTCCTCCCAGCGGACTCCCCCCCCCAGCACCCCCCAAAGCTCCCAGATTCCCCCCCAGGGCCTGTAGAGTGAGGGAGTCGACGGACCCCAGGGCGCCAACACCAGCTGAACCTCCTCCAGAAGCACCTGCCCCTGCTCCTCCTCCCCCTAGGCGTTGCCGCGCTGCACTCTCCTGCTGCGCCTGCAGCAGCAGACTTATTTCATACCCAGTCAAGCCTTGCAGTCCCAGCGCCTGGGCTAGACCGTTGGCTCCTCCTAGAGCAGCCATGGCACTGTTGCTGCTGCTGCTGGCGCCTACTGCTGCCCCTGTGCCGGCAGCAGCCGCGCCTGAGCCTTGCCCCCCCAGGAGCCCCGCTGCTGCTGCTGCTGCAATGGTAGAATTGCTCAGTCCGGAAGCTGCTAGTCCTGACAGGCTTGCGAGGGAATGAGCGCCCACAGGGGAAGTGGCTGCTTCCTGCTGCTGCTGCTGCTCCTGCTCCTGCTGCTGCTGCAGTGCCTGCAGCTGTGCGATTGTGGCAAGGGTTGACGGATCCAACCCCCCTCCTGCCACCAGAGCCGCCGCAGCCGCCGCAGCAGCCGCCGCAGCAGCAGCACCACCCCCGCCCATCCCAATATTGCCCAACCCTGCTGCAGCAGCAAGACCAGACAAAACATCCGCTCCTGCCCCGGCCCCTAAACCACCCCCAGCAGCACCTAGCCCCATCCCACCTCCCCCTCCCCCCCCACCACCACCACCACCAGCACCAGTTAAGCCAGCAGCAGAGGCAGCAGCGAGGCTCATAGGGGGGGGTTTGGTGGTGCGAGTGCCAGCTGGTTGCACCTGGAGCGTGCCCCCGAAGAGGCTGCCCTCGGTGGCTTGGAAGGACGCCACTGGGTGCGGCTGCGGGTTGACGCCGCTTAGCCGCTTCAGGTACAGCCGGTACTTCTGCAGTGGGGGGCAGGCAGGGCATAGGGTGGAGAAGAGAGGAGTGGAGGGGAAAATAAGGTGCTGCAATGCACCTGGAGCGTGCCCCTGAAGAGGCTGCCCTCGGTGGCTTGGAACGATGCCACTGGGTGCGGCTGCGGGTTCACGCCGCTTAGACGCTTCAGGTACAGCCGGTACTTCTGCAGTGGGGGGCAGGCAGGGCATAGGGTGGAGCAGAGTAGAGAGACGGAGAAAATTATATGTCGCGATGCTCCTCGCCTGCCCTCTCCCCTTCTCTATTTGACAATCTATCGCTTCTCTCGCCCTAACCCCTGAATCAGCTCCCCCACTCTCCTCCCCTTCCCTCCCCCCCCCATCCCTCTCACCACTGGCGGCACCCCTCCAAGCTGCCTATTGAACGCAGCGGAACCCAGCCAAGCAGCCAAGCAGCCCAGCACTCTACCCGGCAGCAAGCTAACCAGGCTACCAGGCGCCATGGGATGGGCCCACCTGCAGGTGCGAAGCGACGTTCTCCCGTGTGAGCCCCTGCACGTTCATGATCTCCAAAATGCGCTTGGGCACCGCCTCTGGTGGTGGCGGGGAAGGGGGGAAAGAAGGAGGGGGGGGGGGAGGAGGAACAGAAGAGGAGGAGGGGAAGGGGGAAGGAAGAGCAATGAGCTAGAGATGAGATGACACACGTGCCAGCTGAAAGCAGAGTAGGGTAAAAATAAAAGGTAAAAGGGGGGGGGGGGACATGAGGAGCCTTTTGAGTCGAATAAGAAATGGGGTGGGGAGATGGGGTGCCGGGCCGTGTTGGATAAACAGACAGGTGAAGCAATAGAGGAGCCGCAGGCACGAGGCTGTAGCACACACCCACACACGAGGCGTGGATTGAGAGGAAGGGCGAGAGCAATAGAGGAACTAACATGACAAAGTGAATCACGAAAAGGAGAAAGCAAGGGAACAAACAACAACAAAGGAAACACGCACTCAAGAAGAGCAAGCACCAGAAAGCGCACTCCCCGGAGGGACGAGTTCTTACGGACGGAACAAACACAAGCATGCATCCTAATCTCGCCGTATCCCCCCCCACTCGCTGTCGACGCCCAGCCTAGGGACAGCTTCACAAACCGCTGGTGCAGCTCGACGGACCACACCACCCCTGGACGCATTAACTCTGCATCCCCACGTCTTTCTCACGCATCCCCCCACTGACTGCCCCCGCCTCCTTGCACTTACTGTCGACGTGCCCAGCCTGTTGTTGACGGCTTCACCAACTGCTGGTGCAGCTCGATGAACCACACCACACCACCCCTGGACGAATAAAGACTGCATGCATCTTGCTTACCCACGCCTCCTCGCACCGTATCTCCCCCCACTCCCCACTCACTGCCGGCGCCCAGCCTTTTGACGGCGTTCACCAACTGCTGATGCAGGTCCATGGACCACACCAAACCACCCCAGGACCCGCCGCCTCCTCACACATTGACTCTCTATCCCCGACGACGCCCAGCCTGTTGACAGCGTTCACGAACTGCTGGTGCAGGTCGATGGATCATGGACCACACCACTCCCGGGCGCATCCAACCGGCATGCACCTTTCCTACCCACGGCTCACACGCCCTCGCACGCACTGCCTACGCCCGGCACTCACTGTCGACGCCCAGCCTGTTGACGGCGTTGACGAACTGCTGGCGCAGCTCGACGGACCACACCACCCTACCCCTGGACACGCCTTCACGCACATTAACTCAGCATCCCCGCACCTTGCCTCTCTCACGCAAACCCCCCCCCCCCCCCCCGACAGTCCACGCCTTCTCGCACTCACTGTCGACGCCCAGCCTGTTGACGGCGTTGACGAACTGCTGGTGCAGCTCGATGGACCACACCACGCGCGCCTTCTTCAGCGTCGACGCGTCCTCCAGATACTCCTCCTTCTTGCGCTTGCTCCCCGTCCCGTCCCCCTCACTCCCCCCCCCACCCCCCCTCCGCCTCCGCCTCCCCCTCCCCCCCACCGTCCCCATCACGCCCCTGGCTCTGCAACCCACCCGCACCACCGCCACCGCCAGCAACACTCCCTCCCCCTCCCCCTCCCCCGCCTCCCCCTCCCCCGCCCACCATGCTCGTGGCGCCAGCAGCAGCGCCCCCGCCGCCGCCGCCTCCCCCGCCCCCCCCCGCGGCGGTTTCGTCCCAGTCGCCCGTGGGCTCCTGCTTGAAGGCGGCGTCGCGCGGGGTGGAGCGCTTGCGCACGACGTGCTGCCAGATGTTGCGCAGCTCCTCGATGCGCACGGGCTTTAAGAGGTAGTCGCACGCGCCGTGCGTTATGCCCTTCATCACCGCGCTCGTCTCGCCGTTCGCGCTCATCACTGAGGAGAGAGGGGGGGGAGGGGGGAGTTTGGAAGGGGGGGGGAGGGGGAAGGGGGAAGAGGGGAACGGGGAGAGGGGGAACGGAGGGGAACGGGGAAAGGGGGAGGGGGGGGTAAAAAAAAGGGGAGAGGGGGGGAGAGAGGGGGGAACGTGAGGGGCGTGGTATAGCAAGACGGGTGGAGAGACTTTACGTGATGTCGAGGGGGGAGCGCGAGAGGAAGGGCACGACAGGGCGATGACGAGCGGACGGGAGATGGAGGGGAAGAGGGAGAACCAAGGCCAAGATACCAAGAGGAGGAAAACGCGATGCTGGAAAAGAGAGGGAGAGCGCGACGCAGGGGGGTTGGCCCGTTCAGAAAAGAGGGGGATTGGGTGGGGCAGAGGCGGGGGGGAGGATTGCGGAGGGGAGAGTGGGGGTGGGGGGGAGAAGCAGAGGCAGGGAAGGAGCGAGCGCGGGAGGAAGCAAGGGGGGAAAAAGGAGAGCGAGGGAGGTGGTTACTGATGACAGGGAGGTCGAGCTCGAGGCCGATGAGTTCGAGCAGCTTAAAGCCGTCCATGTCGGGCATGTACACGTCGCTGATCACCAGGTCGAACTTGTCGCGGTTCTCGCGCAGCAGCGACAGCGCCGTCGCCGCGCGGCTGCACGTCGTCACTGCGGTGCGCAGGGAACGAGCACGGATATAGCGAGCAGATGGCGTTTCACCACCAAAAGCAAAGAAGAAAAGAAAAGAAATTACCTAAGGAAACACATAATCAGCAACGCAGCCATACGGGAAAGCAGAATCCAGAGGGGCTGTCTTCCGCACTTGCAGACCATGCTCGGGCAGGAGTAAACAAAAAAAATCTAAGCGACGACAAAGGAGGAAATGTACGGAGCGAAGCAGCACAGAGGAGTGTTATCCTTGGGGATACAACCTCGAGCAGCAGATAGATGGTACACATTTTCCAGAATTTTAAATAAATCACGTACAACTAGATAGTACGCATTGCTCGTACGTGGTTACCACCCTTGGCGAGCAATGCAACCCCTAGCGTACTTATTTCATGGAATCCCCGCAAACAATCTGATCCGGACCTATTCCCGTCAAAGGCAGGAAAACAAAACAGTTATCAGGATGTTCTCAAGAGTAACGCCATAAACAACCCTATATTACGCCGCTGACGGAAAGACCAACTGTAGTACTCCCTGACGCAAGTAGGAAGAACTATCAGTCGTCGCCATGCCCTACACGAGCCACATTCGCAAAACAAGACGAAACGCGACGAAACAAGGGCGCGAACACACAAAGCGTGAGAAACTGTCGTGCAAACCGGGTTACAGCGTAACAGGCGTACCAGTGTAGGAGCATTGGCGGAGCATGCGCTCGAGGATCATGAGGCAGAGTGGGTCGTCGTCTACCACGAGCACCCTTAGCCCCGCGGGAAAGCTGCTGCCGCCTGAGCTAGTGTTGCCCGTGCCGGCCGCTGCTAGGGTCTGCGGCGCGGGCCCGAGATCGGCGGAGTTATCATCCTCTGTTACCCCCAGCTCCTGCTGCAGCCCGGGGTACATGCTGGCGAACTATGGCGAAAAAGGCGCTGGCGAAAGGACAGGGGTTGCGTGGGAGGGAGCGGCTGCTTCCCCTCCCTGGAGTAAGCTAAGGTCGAAAAGCTAGAGGACCTAAAGCTACGGAAACGCGGGGTTGATTAATGGACCCCCTACGATGAAAACAAGTCCAGGGAGCGACGGAGTATTTACATGACGTGCGTAGCTGAAACGAATCAGGGGACCTTCGGCCGCTGTACAGTGTACGGAAGGAACTACCGCGATTTACATAACTGTTCGATGGTCGCGGCTTCGACGTTATCTTCGCGGGAAATAAGCGGCAATCACGCGCATGATCAGCAAACAGTACGGAGGACGGCAGGACGCGTAGGAAAAGCGCACGACGTCAGGGTGTGGGAGGAACCGAACCAAACAGCTTGCAGTAGGGACAGCAGAGAGCAGAAGCAGACACAGGAGGTAGCAGATATGGGGAAGGGTGCTGGCTGGTGTGTGCCATAGACGAGGTTGCTCGCTGGGTGCATGTTCAGCACGGAAGGCAAACCCTACTAACTCCCTACCTCTCCGTCTTAAATGCCAAAAGAACCGTTTTGAAAGTAAAGCAAACTTGTAGAAACCCACCGAACCGAATCTGAGATACGCTAAGGGCAGGTCCACATAGTATGTCTGACTGCGGTGGAGTAACTTGCTTTGCGCTTCAAAACGTTCAAATAGCAGCCTAGAATGGTTGGGTAGGGTATTTAGCGAAAACGAACAATTTGGACCCGCCGTAACAACTCCGGACTCTCAACCCAACAGGGAGTTGGTTGGTTGGTGTCGTCTTTGCTGCTGGGCTGTTCGCCTTGTGCTGTGTTGTCGCGGGTTTCGTGTAAATGGTTACCAATCGCTTGCGCTGTTATCAGCCTCAGCTGCTTTAGCGAATCGGTGGTAACTAGAGGAGTGAGGGTTGTGGCTGCTTGTACAGTACCCCAGTGGGGGACGACAACAACACATGCAAGCCGTCTGTTTCATCAAACGCTCAGGAAGCTGCGAAGAGTTGAATGGTCAGGGCGTGTCCAGCGCGAACGATTAACGGATACTGTACCAGGGGACTCAGTACACCCGAAACACTGTGAACAGAGAATTTCGACCCCCACGCGGACCTCCACAGTTCGTGATGTTACACGTGCGGTGTACACCACTTGTACCCTGGTGCGAAGAGGGAAAATGTGCGGAAACGTTCTGATGCACGTCTGAACAGCAGGCTAGGTCCACAAGACTCGTTACCACAAATCCTGTTCGCCATGCCCGAAACAGAAACCATGTGCGAAACTTCCCAACACAGGTGGCCGAAGTAACAGGATGGGCTTCACCACTTGCCAAACGTGTTGTGAGCGCACCGCGAGTCCATACGGGAATCATTCGTGCAGTACACCTGGGACCTGAGTTTCGGGGCTTTTACATCCAACGGTACAATTTTGTGGCGTGTGTGTAGTAATTACCTAACTCCATAAATCCCAAAACGTACGCGCTGGACACGCCCTCAGCGAAGGAGTTACAGTATTATGAGCAGTTACGAATTCATTACATGTAAGGAAATTCCCTTTTCCTTACTGGGCTAGACTACAGCGCGTACGCCCTCGACTCTCGGAAGTCCAGGCTCGGTCAACTTCTTCGGTCCCGAACCATTTCGCGAGCCCAAACCTAGACGCGCAGCGCTTCCGTGACTTTCGCCAACCGGACCGCCCCAACCTGTTCACGTGGTTCTCGGCTAGCTGTGTTCGTGCCTATAAATGCCTAGGCCCTCATTTGTACTGAGACTCTTGAATCACGACTCCTTTATTACACTACCTGTTATTACTCTGATTAATTCATAACAGCTGGTATCATAGCTTCGTTCCTGCCCGCTTAGTCTTCCGTAGTGTAGTCCGTTTATCTCGGGAGAGGACCTGACAGAATAGGGGATTGGCCTGCGGTTGGTAGGTGAGCTCGTAAAAGCTCCTCAAATCTGTCAGGTAAAATTTCTAGCATGTCTATTATGTCGGAAACCTTTGCCCGTCGTAGTGTTAGGAACGTGACTCAGGAGGAGTTTGACGAGTTGCAAGCCAGGGCGGCTACAGTGACGACACTGCAGGCCAGACTTCAACAACTCGCCGATAAGTTCGAGTCGCTGGGAAGCGAAGTGCAGACGCTGCGCAACGAAAACGCATCGCTTCGCCAGACGTGAGGTGAAACGCATTAGGGGCGGCCTGTTACCCGAGACGAAAATGCTGCGAACGAAGCGAGGGCGTCGGCAACACCTGAAGCAGTTGAAGAAGTCCACAGCGAGCCATGGGCGGCCATTAAAATCAAACCTCCGATGCCACCACCGTTCAACCCGACCGACAGAACAACTACAGTAAGCGGGTGGCTCCTCGCCATGGAAATCTTCTTCACATCAGCAAGTATCTATGACAACGCATCACGTGTCAACTTGGCTGTATCGCTGCTGAGAGGACCGGCACTTGACTGGTGGCGCATGCATCTAGACGAGGGAGGAGCCCCGGCAGGGAATCAACAGGCGGTAGATGGGGAGAACAGCTCATTAACGGCGAAGGCAGAACTGATCTTTGGGTCAGCCACGATCCACACGTGGAAAGTGTGGGGCGAAGCGTTGAAGGACAGATTCGAGCACATATCTATGCCCGAAAATTTTTGCACAAAGCATCGAATGTGGAGACAATTGGGCTCTGTCCAAGAATACACGACGTTGTTTTTGGCAATCTGCGACCGAATTGGAGGGCTTAGCGAAGACGAGCGCATCGATTGCTACATGGGTGGTCTCAAGCCGGAGATTCAGCAAGAGATCATCCTACGAGCTCCAGCGACATTCAACGAAATAGTTCGCATAGCAGACGCGCTGGACGCACGACGTGGACTCCCGAGAGTGGGTGTCTGGGAGGGAAATCGCTTTTGAGGCTAGCCCCAACACACATCAATCAACGGTGTGGACGTGTTTACAGCCCGAGTATTTTCGGGAACCTGCTTCCACTGCAACCAGCCGGATCACATGGTGAGGGATTGCCCATAGCTGAGGAAGAACTTAGCTAACGACAAGAAGCAGTCGGAAAATGGAGATCGTCAGTAGTAGATGGGCCACCTACTGACTTGACTACGTCGCCCAAACGCCACCACCCCCACCAGGTTATAGTGCCAATTTGGGCTATCGACCATTCTTGGCTGAATAAGGGGGGTGAACTGGTTGATCGCCCTGTGCTGGTTGAAGGAAGAATTGGCGACACCCGCATCAAAATATTCGTTGATGGTGGGGCGAGCCATAGTTTGATGGACGTGACGAAGGCGAAAAAAACTACGATTGCACCTGGAGCTCTGCATGCCTGAAATCGACGTGAGATTGGTTGATGGCACACCACTGGCAATTCGGGAGTGAGTATACCACGTGCAAGTAACATGCGGCGAAAATTTCAGTTTCACGACGAAGATGCTGGCGACAACTTTGGACGGTTGCGACATGCTACTAGGACGCGATTGGCTGCGCGAATACAACCCGGGCATTGACTAGCGGAGTGGCGAGTGGCGACGACTACCCTAGCGGAGCTGTCAAGATTCGACCACATCGACGGTCAGTGTCGTGACGATTAAGTGAGCCATGATTCGAGGGGTGCAACTCTATGCCGCCTGATGGATCCTATCTACGGCTGTCGACACACCAACCGACATCGACAAACTCTACGCAGCTGTCCCAGATCATTTGGCAACCGTGATTCGAAAGCACGCGGACATTTTTCCAGATGACCTACCGGCGGGTTTGCCATCTGAGCGAGAACATGGCCACAAAATCGAGCAGGAGCTTGGTGAGCAGCCTACTGTTCGTATGAGAGTACGAACCCATTACACCACTTGTCCCTTTCCTTATTTCCTTCCTCTTTCATTTCTCTTTTTATCTCATCTCATTTGGTTTCCTATTCTCCGTTTTTCCGTTAACCTTTGGTTTATCCTGCTATTATAATTATATCACCGACCAGGCTTGGGATGTACTGGTGCGCTATCTGGCGTAATCCTGCCGTAATCCCTTACAGCCAATAGCCTCGCGTGGCTATACGCAGGGTGATTCTATCTTCTAGAAGGGTATTTTCCCTTAGGATAGGATAAACCTGGTTACCTGATGTACTATGGAAGTATAAAAGCACCTTGTACTGATCGATAGTGCAACCTTTCCTCGAGTCATTCGATCCTGTGACACTTGGTAATCAGAGCTTTTCTCACTCGGCCGCGCTTAGCTAAGCAGCATCAACGGGGATCCTGCCTCGAAAAAACGCCGGGGGCGACCAATTCGACGCCGATTCTTGTAAGCACCAGCTCCGCGTTTTTCCGAATTACCCCCTCCGCGCGTGTTTTTGAACAGGATGGCGAACCTCGACAACGCCGAGGTTACCCAGCAGCTCTTCGCGCGCATCGCAGCCCTTCAGGAGGAGATGCGAGCGGACCGCGAAGCGTGGCGAAACGAGTTCGAGCGAGTAACTCGACTCGCCGGAGCGCAGCACGATTCGACAACGGCAACGACGCAGCAGACGCAGTAGTTTCTCGAGGCTCCGAAACCGCGCCCACCTGAGCCGTTCGATCCGAGCGATCGAAATTCCGACGTTCGCAGATGGATCGCCAGCATGGAGATCTACTTCGCAGCCGTCGGATGGAGTTCGTCAGTTTGGGACGGTCAACGCGTACGACTCGCGGCGACACTGATGCGAGGGCCGGCACTCGAGTGGATTGGCGGCAACAGTACCTTCATCCACGGTGAAGCCACGTGGCAGCAGTTCCGCGCCGACCTGCTGAAAAGATTAGAGCCGATAAATTCGAGTTTCCTTGCCCGGGAAAAAAATCATCAACACCGACAGTTTGGGAGTGTAGCACAGTACACGCAGCAGATGGAGGAATTTTATAACCGCATTCCCGACCTGACCGAAGGGGAAAAAGTACAGTCGTACCTTGCCGGGCTGAAGACCAAAGTCAAACGACAAGTGGCAGCGTCAAACTACGCGAGCTACAGTGACGTCGTATCGGTTGCGGAGCGCTTCGACATGGTCAACGCCGGGACACGACGGACGCACGTCGGCAGTACGCCACAGGGCGACCGCTCGGCTCACCCCACGTTCGCCGACCCGATGGAACTCGACAGATTCGAGGGGCGGCCACGTCCGAAAAACACCAACTACACGTGTGATTTTTGCGGGGTGCCGGGTCATCGAATCTTCGACTGCAACAAAATGAAAACCGCACGCACAGAGTATCGGGCACGCAACAGTGGCGGAAATCCTTCGGCCAATCAAAAGCCAAAAAACGGGACTCGCCAGTGATTGCGGATCTAGCTGGCGAAAAAGAAAAGATCCAGAAGCGGCCGCGGGATTCTGGGAAAATCAACTTCGACGAAGCTGATTCGACGTGAGAAGGAGGAAATGATGGGGGAAAATCTCCACCCCACGACCAATCTTCGCCAGGGAAAATCGCCGAGGAAAAATACGACTCCGCGAAAAAAGACTCTGCCGAGACA